GATAAAAACGCAAACGCCGTAACAGTAACTAATGATAGTACACTACACTACTAGTACAATAATAGTACACATACAGAGAGAGAGAGAGAGAGAGAGAGAGAGAGAGAGAGAGAGAGAGAGAGAGGAAGAGAGAGAGAGAGAGAGAGAGAGAGAGAGAGAGAGAGAGAGAGAGAGAGAGAGAGAGAGAGAGAGAGAGAGAGAGAGAGGAGAAGAGAAGAGAAGGGAAGAGAAAAGAAGAGAGAGAAAAAGAGAAAAAAGTGAGAGAGAGAGAGAGAGAGAGAGAGAGAGAGAGAGAGAGAGAGAGAGAGAAGAGAGAGAGAGAGAGAGAGAGAGAGAGAGAGAGAGAGACGGCCAGACAGAGAGACAGATAAAAAACAACCAGATCAATTAAAGAATGAGACGGAAACAAAGAGAAGAAAAGAGAAGAGAGAGAGGGGGGGAGGAGGAGGGAGATTTTATATGATTTGATAACATTTAATTACAGATTACATGCCCTGCAAAAAGCCAGGGTAAGATACCAAAACATCTATCCAAACTGGCTGTGCTTCTATTTGTATAGAGGGCCATCAGTCAAACATTAGTGCTATACACATGCCTGAAGGGCTGTGCTATTATCACTGTAAGATATCATCTGGCTGGTAAAAAATAAATAAATAAATAAATAAATGAATACCCTGTTCTGATAGTTCAAAAAAATTGGCGAAGGATATTTCTAGTTATCATGTTTTCTCGATTAAATGCAATGACCCTATGGAGAGCGCCTTGGCTGTCAGTAAAGACAGTCAGGTGTCGCTGCTGCTCACTGCCTTTTTTTGATAGTATGATATATGGCTTGTCCAGTTGGAAATACTCACACTTTCTTGAATCAGGAATTAGCACAGACGTCACAGTATATTTCATGTAATGAACTTTTAGTTCCATTTTTGAAGTGATGGATTTAGGCCCTATTAGTTTATCAATATGAGCATGTGCATGAGTTATGTGCCAAGGAGCAGTAAGTACTATTTCTGGAATGTTAGTAGCTTCGTTTTTCCATACACAGAACATAATAGTATAGACAGACAGAGACAGTCATAGAAAGAGAGACAGACCGACAGAGACACTCACAGAGACAGAGAAAGAGACAGACAGACCGACAGAGAGAAAGAGAGACCCCGGCGACGAACAAAGAAGGACGGGGACGATCAGCCGTCAGAATGCAGGTCTTGATTCTCACGCAAGCAGATGCATGATCCTCCTTAATGCCGGCCGGGAGTCTGCTTGATCTCTGCTTACGTTCGAAGCCGTGACGACTCTCGCCTTTGAAGGATGCTGTGCCTCGCTCCCTCTGCGTTTGGTTATGTATATGCATTCGAATATGTCTATGTGTTTATATATGTATATATGTGCGTGTGTATGTATATATATATATATATATGTGTGTGTGTGTGTGTGTGTGTGTGTGTGTGTGTGTGTGTGTGTGTGTGTGTGTGTGTGTGTGCGTGTATGTATGTATGTATGTATGTATGTATATATGTATATAAGTATATATATATACATATATGTATACATACATACATATATATATATATATATATATATATATATATATATATATATATATATATATATATATATATATATATATATGTATGTATATATATTTATATATATATATATATATATATATATATATATATATATATATATATATATATATATATATACGTATATACATATATATGTATAAATATATATATATATATATATATATATATATATATATATATATATATATATATATATACATATATATATATATATATATATATATATATATATATATATATATATATATATATATATATATATATATATATCTTTATATGTACATATATGAATAGATAGATAGACAGATAGATAGAGAGAGAGAAAAATTGTATGTACATGTATATATTGTATGTATATATTGTATATATATGTCACCAACATATCTTCCCTGTCCTTGACGCCTCACCAGCAACAACTCCTTGGCTGCGGTTTTTCCTTTGCTCTCCGCCCTCACCCTCTTACCCCCATCGGCATTATTTCACCCTTCGACCGATTCATCTCTTCTCATAGGAACTCCTTGTCTGATTTCTCTCTCCTTCGTGGTGCTTTCATCCTTGAATTCCTCCTCCATCCTAACCCTTTTATTTCCAGGCATTACCGCGAAGCTCTTCTAAGCATGTACAGGGAGGATGTCACCATTTTACCTTCCAACAAGGGCAACTCGGTGGTGATCCTCGACCGTGCCTTCTATCTGCAGAAGGTCTGGGACCTACTGGATGACACCTCCACCTATTTCCCCCTGACCAGTGACCCTCCCCCTCCCCCAAACCCATAAGCTAATAGTGCCTCTGGCCCCATTATCTCCTCCTAGGGATTTTGTTTGGCTGAAGAAGCCTCTCACTCTCATTATTGGCACTTTCTCTCCTGCTTACCTCCGCCACTCTCAGGACTTCATTTCCCGTGTCCGTGGTGTTTCTCCGGCGATCATGATGAGCTTGGATGTCGACTCCATGTTCACCAAAGTCCTACTTGATGACGTCCTCGCTTTCCTTCAATGGAAGCTCCAGGCCGAGGACCCTCGTCTCCCTCTGCCCACCGACGTCTTCCTCCAGCTGATAAGTCTGTGTGCGGAGTCTAATTCCTTTCCCTTTGAGGGTCGCTTCTACTCTCAGACGTTCGGTGTTGCCATAGGTTCTGCCCTCTCTCCAGTCTTGGCAAACCAGCTCATGAAATTCTTCGAGTCCTTGGTCCTTCTGTGTCGCAACTTTCTCTCTCCATCCGTTTCAAGGTGGAATGGGAGGTTGACAAGCTCCATTTCTTGGACACCCTAGTTCATCGTTCTGCTGACCACTTCTTCTCCATATACAGAAATCCTATGCATAGTGGATGTACATAAACTTCTCGTACCATCCTCTCCATGTAAAGAGAGGAATTACCACCTCGCGGTTCCCCCGCGCCCTCCGTATCTATGACCCCCAGTACCTGGATGGGGAGATCGACTTCCTGCGTCGTTCGTTTTCCAAATTTCGGCGAGACTAGTGCCAGTCTCACTAAGCGTCTGTCTCAACATAAATACGCTGTATCCAGAGGACACAACAACAATGCCCTCTTCTGCCATGAGTAGGACATAGGGCATCAAATGGACTGGTCAGCCGCGCGTATCGTCGTCCCTTCCGCTGATGCCCACGCCTGCAGACTGGTGGAATCATCCTTAATCAAGCCATTACCTAATTTCAACTTGAACAGCGGCTTTTCTCCTGCCAACAGCCTCCTGGCTTCACACATGCTCCGCCTTCACCCTTATGTCGGCCACTCTTCGCATAGACCGCCTGATTCTTCGACCTGATCTGACCTTCCTTCGCTTCCGTTCACCTGACGTTGCTTCTCCTGTCTCTCTTTCATACTCCCTCCTCTCCCCTGCCCCTTCAGACCAGAAGATGGAATCCAGTAGGATTTCGAAACTGTTGTATGATTTTAATAAATCTAGTTTGTGCATTGTGGATTTTCTACAAGTACAGCCATTTCTCCTGTCTCTCTTTCATACTCCCTCCTCTCCCCTGCCCCTTCAGACCAGAAGATGGAATCCAGTAGGATTTCGAAACTGTTGTATGATTTTAATAAATCTAGTTTGTGCATTGTGGATTTTCTACAAGTACAGCCATATAAATCTAGTTTGTGCATTGTGGATTTTCTACAAGTACAGACGTTTTCTATGAAGTTTGTGGTAAAGAAAACGCTGGTCGGTGATCCTCAACAAATTTTGGTATATTTTCGATGTGATATGTCAGTGAAATTGTTGATCTTGCAAGACTGATAACAGTTAGAAGACCTTCGCACGCCAGACTACGACGATGATGATATTGATATATAGAGAACATATGCCCCGGGTAGAAAGGGTGGATATGAAAGGTACCAAAGATAAAGAACTAGTATAATATGAAGCAAATATACAGAATAGATCAGTTTAGAGTCAACTAAGGGGCGCTGTCTCCCCTAACCCCCGCCCTGGACGATAAAGAATCTACCACGTACGGCAAGATAGAGCGTAGGACAGCCTCGGCATCAGGCGCTTTCAAGCAATGTGATCGTAGGATGGGCTTATATCGATATATCTAATGCTAGGTGCTGTCACCCATCCCGACCCTCGCCCGAGACTACAAAGAATACCTCGCGTGTGTACGACAAGATGGAGCAGAAGCAAATCACCCTGTCAGAAAATCAGCATCATATTCTGCCTTAAATCTTGGTCTCGGTCTCGGAGGTGGTTCCCTTCTGCTGACGGATCGCGCATAACTCCCGAGAGACGTGGCGGCCATGTAGCATGATGGAGTGGAATGATACGCATACGCCATGTGTACGTATGCCCCTAGCAAATACTAGATGGCACTTAGTATCCCATCTAGATCGAGTACCTGACGGAGGCGCAAGGACGACCGCAAATTTCGCCTCTTCTGTGAGAAGCCAGCTTGACCGCGACGCCTCCTCCGCCTCGATGTTCACGGGATCCTTCTTTAAACAGCTCTCCTCTTTGTGGAGACTGATGTGTTGTGAACAGTGAACACCAGGGCGGGGGTTGGTGGCCAGACAGCCCCCCACAGGTGGGATGTAGCAGGAGGCATAGCCCCCTGCAGTCGATAATATAGTGGCTTAATTTGTTTATGTTATCTATATTTTACCCCGCAATTCCTGTACTAACCCCCCCCGCCCTCTTATCGGGGCCAAGAATGTGGGGGTTTGGAGGGTTTCCGCGAAATGTCCTACATATACGTGTACTAAAAAGTGAAGAGTCCGGTAATACCAGAAGCGTCGTGAACGCCATGCATAGTGGACTGAATATTTACCAGAAACCTCAAGTCGCCATCATCATTAAGTCTTCATCATCATTACTATATTTTCTTAATCTACATATTATAATCCTGTCAGACAATGTAACAGAAAATCACACACAAAAAGGTAAATAAAATATTCCGTTGTAATTCAGCAAAACCTTTATTGCAATGGCCGAACAGCTTGGTAAGGCCAATGCTCCAAACCGAATTATCAAATAACAATGACCATACTACTTAAAAAATATAAAGATATGTATCATTCTTTTTTTTTCTTCCTCGAGGAGAGAAAGAACCTCCTTCTTTACATAAAAATAAATAAAGGTGAAAATTGAGGTCATATATTCCTGTTGTTGTTGTTTATTGTTGTTGTTTTCAGCCGAAGGAGAAGGACATAAAAAATGCCATAGGCTTAAGGAATGAATGACTGTATAAATCATACACAGGACTGGAATGGGTTATGTGGATAAGAACTGAAGAATGAATGGCCGCAAAGAACGAAATAATGAGGGAAGAATGAAGAAAGAAGAATTAAGAAAAAAAAATGAAGGAAGTGAGGACGAGTTATAATGAATGCACTAATTTCTTCTTTTGTTTTATTTTTACCTAGGGTGATTTTTTTTTTCTGAGAGGTGAGGGATGGAGGAATGAATGAAAGAAGAGGTGAGAGATGAGGAAGGAAGTCGGAAAAGTGATGATTTAACCGCTCATCATCTCCATGAATTCTGGAAAAGAGAAGAAAAAAATGAATAAGACTTGAGGATTTGGAAGTCAAGAAATGGATTGAGTTAATGCTTTAAAAATAAAGAAAAAAACATAATTAATTGATGAATAACTCTATTAATAAATCGATTAATAACCAGATTATCATACAAAGAGATAAATAAATTAATCAAGACAGATTCAGGAAACTGTATCAGGTAGCTAATAAAACTTATATTCGTTGTTTAGGCTTAAACTGCGAAAATGCTGTGACTTCTTGAGCTGCTTTACTGAAAGATCTCCAAATATGTCTTTGAAGAAAGGAATATTTGCGTAAGCAGTGTCTTAACAAGGCAGAATCTTTACGAAAGAGTAATCTTATGAAAGCAAAGAATATAGTCAAGTAAAGTTTTATAATAAAAAAAATCTTATAAAAGAAGAAAATATATAAAAACAAAATCTTATGAAAGAAAAAGTAGAACATTACGAAAGGAAAACCTTAGGAAACAAGCACCCTTACAAAAATAAAATCTTCCCGAAGGCAAAGTTTCACGAAAAGATAACCTATACAATAAATAAATAAATGAATAAATAAATAAAATAATAATAATAAAGATAAGAAATAAAAATCGTGGAAACCTTTCCCCCCTAGACCACCGAAAAAGCGCACATCTCTGCCTCCTTGTGCTCGCTTTCCTCCACTCACCATCGAAGTCGAGAGTGCCGGAGCCGTCCTCGTCGACCTCCTCAATGATGCCATCCAAGTCAGTGGGGGTCAACTTGGGGTCAAGCTCGACCAGAATCTCCTTCAGGATGTCGGTGGTGATGTAACCCTGGCCTGAGGAGGGAAGGAAGAGCAAACTTTAATATTTACTAATTGCAATAACTATACTAATCACTATAATTATTATTTATTAACCACAAGAACTACCGTTACTAAACACAGTAATTACCGTTTACTAATCACCAATCATTACTATTTACTAGTTACAATAATTGCTGTTTGCTAATCACAGTTATTACTAATTACTAATCTTAACTATTCTTTACTAATCCCCAATCCAACTCACAGTCCTTGTCGTAGATACGGAAGGCTTCCCTGAGCTCGGCCTTGAGGGCTTCCTCGTCCTCCTCGATCAGGAACTTAGCGGCGAGCTCAGCAAACTCCTCGAACTCCAGCATACCGGAGCCTGAGGAGGTGGAGGAGGAGGTGGGCGGAGCGAAAAGAGAGAGGAGGTGGGCGGAGCGAAAAAAGGAGGTGGGCGGAGTGAAAGAAGGAAGAGGAGGTGGGTGGAGCAAAAAGGAGGAGGAAGTGGACGGAACGAGAAAAAAGGAGGAGGAGGTGGGGGAAGGGCGGAGATAGAGTGTGGAAGGTGGAGAGGGGAGGGCGAAGGAGGAGGTGGAGGAGGGAGAGGTTGAAGGGTGGAGAGGGGAGGATGGAAGAGAAGGAATAGGGGGAAATGGGCGGAATCGAAGAAAGAGAAGGAGGAGGAGGAGGTGAGAGGAGCGAAGTAGGGATAAGAGAAGGAGATAAGCAGAATCATAGATGGAAAAGGACGACGATGACGTCATCACGAAGCGCAGTCGAGAACATGAAAAAAAGAGAAAAAGACATCCATTAATTATCATTATCAAGTTTCTTTCGCGGGTAATCTCGTGACTAATTAATTCCATGAAGTAAATAAGTAAAAAATATAAAACATGGTCTTTTCTTGATCAAATTAGATTTTCAGCTTTGAGGATATTGTTGATATGAACTGAATTAATAATACAGATATAGTTTTTTCCCCGGCAGACTGGTATATTGAAAGATAGGTTAATGAACGGATATAGAAAATTGTGATGGATTGTTTATAAAGAAACCTAATGACGACTTTGACAAAGAAAATGGCAATATTCAATTAACAGTATAACCGTTTGTACTCGTACTTTATAAAAAAATATGTTCACAAAAATATGATCCTATTTTAGCTTAAGTAATTATAATTCAGATAATTACAAATATTATAATTCATTGTCACAAATGAGATTTAACCCACGCACATATGGTAAAAAATATGATATCAGTACAGTGCATTTCCCTCATGAAATATCAGAATAACTGTGGTATATTCTATTCATCATATGGCCTACATTTTTAGAGTTAGTGTATAATCGAAATGAAGGTTTCATTTAGCTGTTAAAATTATTATAATTGTCTAGTGCAAAGTGTTGGACTGAATGAGTGGCAAGTAAAATGTTGAACTTTATTTAAATGAGAAATACACACAAAAAATAATAATATAATTGACGTCAGTTCTTAGCTTCAGACATGTTTCAACGAAATGAAATAACCTCCACTATCATACCCTAAGCTTCAAACCACAGCCTCCAGGAGCCACAAACCCCGCATCACGTCTCCTTCAGAACTTACCGTCCTCGTCAGTCTCGGCGATGACCTCCTGCAGGTTCTTCTCAGAGATCTTGACGCCCATCATCCTCAAGATGACTCCAACAGTCTCGGCGTTGATGGAGCCGGCGCCCTCAGTGTCGAAGGAGTTGAAGGCCTTGCGGAGGGCTGCGGAGAACGAAGGAGGTTAGAGAAGTGTTCACAAGGGCGTTTGAGGGTACAGAGTGACTGGGAAGGGCGTGAGGGCGTACAGATAGAGAAATCTGTTCAATGGGAACCGTACATGTGACTGACGGTGAGTGTATCTACGAAACGGGACATTTTTTTTTGACTGTACGGTCATTGTGCTAAAGACTTCATACACATACTTTATAACAACTATATATCAACATGTCTACACACATTAAGCTAAAAGATAGCTACGGATATACTAGGTCTAAGCTATATATTTTTTTTCTCTGTCAACATTTAGATCCAAACTAAGAGACATGGGAACTTCTGATACCAGAACATACAGAACAATTACTAAAAAGACTCCAACGTATCTTATAGAAAACGAAATCTAACGTACAGAAAACGGGAATCATGCGACAAATAGGACGGGGAACTACAAGAAAAAGGCATCACGTTTAATGCAGGTCTTGAAATCGGTTCTCAAGAAGGTAATTTGCTTGCACAAGAAATATGACTTAATTTGGACAAGGAGAACAATGATATCGAACTAGGACAAGAACGATAATACAAGTCTCTATAAGGGAATGCTATAATATTCACGGACTTAGGAAAGGAGTTTTGATGTTTTTATATAAGAACCAGACACAAAGGTGGGCAAATTATGGGGAGAAAATGTAATGCAAAAATATATTAAAAAGAGATTCACAGTGATACAGATGGTATTGATGCTTCACCTGTATGAATAAAACAAAACAAAAAAAGAGTAAATGAAAAGGGTAGGAGAAAAAAATCTCTTTTTTCTTCTTCATTCCTGGGAAGGTTTTGGGTTGAATGCTGGTAAAATATGGTTGCTGATAAATCCAGACAAATATTTTCGATTAAAGCACAGTAGAACCAGGCAAAATCACCGGGGGGGAGGGGGTTCAGGGATGGGGGGGGGGAGTCAGTTGTAATAGAGAAAAATAGGTAAACAAAATGCATTAACAGGGATTTTTTTTTTTTTTATGAAAAGGAAATCATAGATTATTATCTTTCTCCTTTCACCTACTTTCAATCTGCTCTTCATCAAGGGAGTCCTGTAAAAAAAAAAGTTACACATTTCTTAAGCATCGACATAAGAAAATAACAAAGGAAGAAATAAAAGAAAATATTAACTTTGATTAATATCTTTGATTAACCTTGATTAGCTGCCAAACCTTTTGTTAAAGTCAATAAAACGAAAATTAAATCTACTAATTTGAATAACGTTTTTGTTAAATAACCCAAAATTAACATGAAGTTGACATCCTAGTATTGGTTACTTAAAATGATAGTACAGATAAGAGTGAACATAAATATTACTAAATATGCAAATAAATAAGTGAAATAAAAGGTTGAGTATAAGAAAATAATAAGTATGCAAATATACGCACATATATGTAATTGCACAATGCACACACACACACACGCACACACATATTTATATGAATATATATATATATATATATATATATATATATATATATATATATATATATATATATATATATGTACATACACACACACACACACACACACACATATATATATATATATATATATATATATATATATATATATATATATATATATATATATATATATATATATATATATGTATATATATGTACATACATATATATATATATATATATATATATATATATATATATATATATATATATATATATATATATATATATATATATATATATATATATATATATATATATATATATATATATATATATATATATATATAAATGCATATATATACATCTATATATGTATGTAATATATACATATATATATATATATATATATATATATATATATATATATATATATATATATATATATATATGAATACACACACACATATATATATACGAACAGAAAAAAGCAGAAGAGAATCGGAAGGAAAGGGGAAACTAAGGGGAGAGGGAAGGGGGCAAATGTCTAAAATCGGACCGGTTTTTCCCTTACCCCCCCAACCCCTAACCCTCTCTCTCCCCCCACTCCCCCTTCCCCCTGGCGTATCATCTTCTCTGGGGTGTGGCGGCCTCCCCATAGCGTCTTAAAATACACCTTCAGGAGGCCTCCTTCTGGTCTTTCCCCCCGCGATGGTGCCGTGCGGTTACGGACGTGCGAATGTACATGTGCACAGAAGCATACTGGGACGTGTAATTTCAAATGTAGTAAAGAAATAAAAATAGATCCTAAGCAGAAACGGATATACATGCAACGTACGTACGCAGACACACACAAACACATACATATACAGACGCACATACATATACACACACACGCACACACACACACACACACATACACACACACACACACACACACACACACACACACACACACATACGCTCACACGCACACACACACACATACACTCACACACACACACAGGCACACACACATACACTCACACACATACACACACACACACACATATACACACACGCACACACACATACACAAGACACACACACGCACACACACATACACACGCACGCACACACACACGCACACACACACACGCACAAACACACACACGCACACACACACACACACACACACACACACACACACACACACACACACACACACACACACAGACCCCCACGCACTAACCGATTCAGTTACTGCTCAAATACCCCCCCCCCCCCACTCCCAGCAGCTTCCCTCTCAAGGCATCTCAGAGCCTGGCAGCATCCATAATTAACGCACCACGTGGCCCAGTGCATAATGAAAAAACGGAAGTAATGGGATAGTGAAACTGCACAATCTAGTTCAGTCTATCCTTTAACGAACCGATTTCTGTAGTCTCATTATCCCATTTCTCTCCATTCCTTTGGTCTTCCTATTTTATTTTTCTCTCTCTCAAGTAATATCATTGGGTTTATTTTTCTGATATTTTCTTTTCTATCTGATTTTACAGCTATGATCTTAATGTTCTTTGGGCCCATTGTAGAAAAGGACAAATGTTCTCAAGTTTGGCCAGGTGACATATAACCAGGTAGTTCCTCTTCCGTATAGCCTATTGAACCCAAAAAAGAAATTTAGTTTTTCCCAAGAGTATTCTATTAGCTGTTAATGATAAGAAACTCTTAGTTATCATATATAAAAGAGGGGAATTTTGGTTATACTTCTGGTAATTATAACAGTAACAAGTAAATTCTGCAAATAATTATGTATCTAGCTATATCTGGTATCTCACGGCACATTCTCATTAGGGCTGTTCCAATTTTTTTATCCCAAGAATTTGTGCGATATTTTATGCTATTTCAGTGCACTTTCTTTCTTTCCAGTAAATAACACTAGTAACAATATAGAGGAAAAAAGAAATGGAGAAGACATTGAATATTTGCAATGAAAAAAAGGTGACGATGCAGGCCTTAGGTCGGAGGCTGCCAACTAGGATTTTCATCAAGATGTAAGGATTATACCTGTGCAAAGTAACCTTGGGTTTGGCAGGTCGCCATAACACGTGGTAACCGCACTCGTTTTCTATGCACTTAGACTCAATGGCCTTCACATAATTCGAGGGGATACTTTATTTTAATTATTTTCATCATGATTATTATCAGTACAATGACTTCGATTATTGTTATCATTATTTGTTACTTAATTTCGCTGTTATCATTATTATCCTTGTTATGAACTTCATTACGATACTACACCGCCCCCCCCCCCTCCCCCCCCCCAAAAAAAAAGTAAAAGTGAAAAAAAAGCAATTTCGCTTAAGCCTGGACTGATTACACATAATCCCTTTCTATCCTCTAAAAAAGGAAAGCTGGGTTATCAAAAGTTAATTTGGAGTTCAAACCTCTCCTTTATAATAACATCGTGATACAAAGTGCCTGCCTAACGAACTTTTCGAACTTTATAAGCTGTAAGTCTCACCTCGTGCGTTTTTATCCGCTGAATTTTCATTATTATTATCATTATCATTTTTATTGTCATCATTATTGGCATTATTATTATCATTATTATTATCATTATTATTATTATTATTGTTATAACTCTTGCGATAATTACTATCATTAATAGTAGTAATATCATTATTATTATTATTATTACTATTATTATTATTGTTACTTATATTATCATTATCATTATCATTATTATGATTACCATCATTATCATTATTTTTAATATCATCACTATTGTAATCATTAAAATCACTTTCATTATTTTTGCTATCGCGGGTAATGGAGTATTCACATAGGAACAATAGTTGAAAACAATATTCTTATGAAGTATTATTCGTAAAAAGAGGATTTTCTTATAGGAACAATATATGAAGGATAATGATATTGGCTTTGAACGACAGAAATCGGAAAAAAGTGTTCTTTAACTGAACACATACAACATAAAATTATAATTGTCTTTATCACAACATTAATTCAATTAACAAGATCCAAATATATTCACAAGCAAAGCAAAACAACCAAGCAAATGATAAAAGTAATAATAATAGTAATAGTAATAATAATAATGATAAAATACTTTCGTCTTGAAAGAGGCTAATAAAATTTTCCTGCGGATTTCACGTGTTTTTATTACCTCATTCTATCGCAAGTGCCAGCAATATCATTTCGTATATGAGCAACCATAAACATGTATGGTAATAAGTGGGACGGCATTACACTACGACCCCCGAATAAAGATAAAAAACAACTAATAATGAAGAAGAGAAAGGGAAAATAAAAACAGAAAGATACTGTACTTCATTCATACACATTGGTCTCGATATACACAGACATCTCAAAAAAAAAAGAAAAAACAAAAGAGAGAAAAAATATCATAGAACACGTTTTGGCCACACTATGATGGAGAAAAAGAGTCGAAATTCCTTTCACACTTACCATGGTGCTTGAGTCAG